ACCTCATTGGGCATCCTGTAGCTTACGAGCAGCTACTGCTGTGTGGAGAGCATACCCAGCGTTGTATAAACATTTTATCCAGCCCAAATCAAATTCAGGAAGGGCTAAAAGATTTGCTAATACACATTTTATTGAAGATTTAGCTTTAATGATCGATATCTTAGAAGAATTTTCAATACTAACCAATGCGCTAAAATCAAGAAAAATTACCATATCTAAAGCTGATCAATTAATTAAGCGTTCAACAAGAGCTATAGAACTACACAAGAATGATAATTTTGGTATCTATGAAAAAAAGGTTCAAAATTTAATTTCATCAAATGAGTTCAAATGCATACCATTTGATTACAATAATAAATTTGTGTCTCTTCCCATAGAGCAATTATTAGATAGTGTGGCATAGAATATGAAAGCAAGACTTTTATCGGCTAGTCATATAAATATGGAGGAGGATAAGAATGAAAACAATGACACTGATAACTATGAAAAATTTGTACAGCTCTTCGAGATTTTAGATCCTTCTACCTGGTCATTAGATAAAATTATGTCACCATGGCTAGAAGGTGAAGACAATTTTAAAAAATTATGTGAAATTTTAAAATTTAAAGTAGATGTAAATGATTTTCGTGACTTTGTAAATGCAAACATACAGCTGAAAAATGTTCAGTTACCTAATTCAATTTTAAGGGCTAAAAAAATAACAAGCACACTTGCTATTAGCAGTTCAGAAGCTGAGAGAGGTTTTAGCCTTATGAATTTAATTGCATCAAAATTAAGAACCAGCCTTATTGTAGAACATATATCCAATCTAATGACAATTTATTAGGGGAAACCAATAGCAAATTTTAATGGCATTTCTTTTGTTACATCTTGGATTAACCAGATGTTAGCAACTGAAACAAGAGTAAGAAGAGGGCACAATAATGATGTTTCTGCAAATGGATTCTATATTAATTAATTAATTAATTAGGCATATACATAGCGTAGTATGTTAAATTTGAAATCTATCAGTTTTATTGTGCAAAAAATATTTTGTTTAGTTATTTTGTGCAATTAATGTTTTGTTTTGTTATATATATTTTATAGCGTACAAAAATTAATAAAGACAATGTACGCATTTACCGTTTTTTTTTTTGAAATACTAACGAGCCGGTTGTTCAAAATTTAGCAGCCCACCTTTGAGTATGGGACCTCAAAACCACATGGCTTAAATTGTTTATAACTTTTTTAAAAATAGTTGTAACTTTCCCATATTTTGAATATGCTTGTTATATTAAATTTCATTTCATATATATTGTATTTTGACTGCGAACTTATATTTTAAGGAAGTACCTAGGGCGCTACAAAAACCGCATGGTTAGGACCCCAAAGACCACATGAGTTATTTTAGTTTTTAAAAAATTCTTTGTGATATTACAAAAAATCAAGAGTCAGTGTAGATTTGTAGTAGTTGTAACTAGCATTTTGATGATAAAGAATTTATAAAGAGATTTTATTTTATATTCTTGTATAGAGGACAGATTTAGTTCAGTTTAGTGAATTTTTGATAATATTTAGTTTTTAGGCAAATAAATAATTATGAGTAACATCAATAAAAAATTCAAAATACGCTTGCAAATAAAGGTGAGTTTCCACTCATCCGTTTTTTCACGGGAACGGGATAGGTAAAGAAAAAATAATCACGTGAGCATGCGCATTTTCCTTACGGACAAATAAAAACTTTTATTACGCATGCTCACGTGATTATTTTTCCCGTCCCTTGCCCGTTCCCGTGAAAAAACGAATGAGTAGAAACTCACCTTAAAGTCACTAAACCCAAGTTCTAATGCTGAAGCACTTATAAAGAGAAAAGCAACATTAGAAAAAAACAAAAAACTTGAAGTTGCTGTTCACTGGTGTTCAAAGAAAATAATGTAAGAGGATATGCTGCAATTAAAACAAGACAACTCCCACTTATTAAAAATCGTGAAACAATAAACCGTAAACCTAATGGAAAAATAGTTAATGGTCTTGAAAGACAGTACTGTACAATTTTTTTGGAGCAGATGAAATGTCAATTGTTTCATACATTAAAAATAAAAATCGAGCAATGCAAGGCATAAACAAAGCAGAACTAACAAAACTTGTCCTTAATGTTCTGAAAGTTAGACAATACACAAATAAAAGGTTTAAAAGTGGGAGAAAATTTGCAGCATTATCAGAAAATGCAAAAAATGCTCAAACAAAAAACAAGTATTTTTGTTAGTTGTATATATTTTTAAAAAGTAGTAAAAGATAATATGGTAAGAGAAGGTTGTTTGTAGTTACAGAAGATGTAGCTTGTTAAAAATGTTTTTTTGCTTTGTTTTTTATATATTTTTTGTTTCAATTGCAGATTAGGTAAATCGTTCTGGATGCGCTTTAATGCAAGCTTAACACTCAAGCGACAAGGAAATGTATCAATAAATAGAGCTCTCAATTGCACAAGAGAAATGGTCCATGTACACCTTGGTATAAGTAAATATTGTGTTTTTGATTAAATTTTATAATATACACATGTTTCATTTAAAATTTTACATAGAGCTACCCTTTATTATTAGTTGTGTACTTTTATGTTATGTTCTTTTAATAAATGTAAAGTACAGTAACTATTGTTACTGTACTTTAGCTTCATTAAAAATAGTTTGAGCAAAACTGAGTTACTTATTGTATTTTATGGTTGTCTTTAGACGCTCTTGCAGAAGAATTGATTGAAGCTGGCATTATGGCTGAAGCAGAACAAAAGGAGACAGGAGTTTGGTCTGGAAAAATTGATATAGGGAGAATATTTAATCACGACGAAACACCACAGTTCACCAATTTTGGTGTTGATGGAACTCCTGCTGGTCTTGTTTTTGCTGAAAAAGGAGAAAAATGCTGTAAAATGATAAGAGAGAACCGTGAATGCGTCACCATAGATCCTTTAGTATCATTTTCAGGTAGCTATTGCCATATCACTTTTTTTATAAATATTTATAACAGAGTTTGAAAGGGTGACATTGTATTATATTTCTTTGTAATTATAGGAGACCTTTCATGGTGTATCGGATAATAATATGTTATTAGATATGTATAAAGAGTTTGATAAATATCTTATTGAAAAAAAGTAGCGCGGCCAGTAGTTTTGCTTTCTGATGGGCGTTGTTCACGCTTTAATTTTGATGTCTTACAGTTTTTACAATCAAAAAACATACGAATGTTCCTAATTCCACCAAATACCACCGGTGTGACACAGCTTTTATACCAACTCAACAAAAACCTTCATCATGAGTATCGTGGCATAAAAGAAAACATTTTTACTGATTTCAACTCACTAAATAAAGAAGCTTTTATGATGATCTTAGGACGTATTTGGAACAAATGGGCCCTAAAACAATCTATAGTCAAAGCTGCAGGACATGTGGAAGTAACTTCTACATCATTAAATGTTAATGAAATGCAACAGGACAAGTTTGCACGAGCTGCTTTATGTATTGATACTTTTAAAAGTGTTTAACCCAGTACAACAACCCCTGAAAGATGCACTATTGAATCTCCTGATAGAAGAAAAAATTAGGCTCAGTATGGGAAAGAAAAATTTGAGCGTTCACAAGAGCTTATTCAAGAACTGAGCGAAAAGAGCATTCAACTTGAAGAAATCCCTGGCTTACTGACAGTGCAGAAAGTTAAGCCAAAAATTTCTATAGTTCCTACAAAGGTTACGCAGGTTCACGGATCAATGAAAGGAAAAAATGTACTGGAGTTAGTGAAGGTAATTCAAGTTAATAAAAATTAAGAACTAAAAGATAAAGAAAAAAATATGGAACAAAGAGAAACATTTTTACGGTGTAAAAATGAATGCAACTGTGGAAAAAGTGTGTGTCATGCCATAAAACTACAGCAGTGCTCTTCTTGCCACAATGTACAAAGGTCAGTTTGCGGAAAGTTATCATGTAAAGTGGATGGAAAGAAACCAATAATGTTTTTAGCTGCTGCAGTAACCAACAATTCCATTAAACGTAAGGTAATTAAGCATGAAAATGATGAAAATACTAGCAATTAGAAGGATACATCAAGAAAGTGACCTTATAGTTCTTATGGCCATATTACAGATTATGTTTTTTAATTATCAATTATAACTTAGTCAATTAGTTGATCAATTTTCTCAATAGTTTCAAAGGATGTAGAAAAATATTTATAAACTGTCTTAAAGACAAATACGCCTATATTTAAATTTTTTTTACAAACAACTATCTTTACTTGCTTGTTAATAGAAAAATAAATTTTAATAGAAAAAGAAAAACTTTCTTTTAATATTGAGTTTTTAACTGTATATAATTTTTTTGTTAATGGACCCAAAAACCACACAGAAATAATACATTTATTAACTTAAAATAATTTAACAACTATTTAAAAAAAATATTTTATAAATTTTTTTACAGAAGTATGACCTTTATTAGAATCTTAATAAAAACTTTGCAAACTTAAATGAAAATTTCAAGTATTTAATGACTATAATTATAATTTCAAATAGTTATAAAATTTTTTAATAAATTATTCTAACGTTTGTTGTATAATTTTTACAAGATTATGCTAATTTGGTTATTTTAAACAGTTTTCTACCAAAAAACTATCTTGTCAAATGAAAAATTCTATTTTGCTCCTTGATAAAACTTAATCTTTAAGTTACAGGTACTAATGTGAGCGTGTGACTTTTGAGTTCAATGAGTTTTTGGGTCCCGTCTACCTGTAGTATGTTAGGTCTATATTTAGTTTAAGATTTTAAAAATATTTCATTATTTTAGGTTTAAATATATTTGAAAATCAAAAATACGATATTTCTAGATAAATAAATTATCTTTCAAAATCTCTGGTTAAAAAAAAAGATAATAATGCAAGTATCAATTTCGAATGTAAAACTATGTGTGCAGAAGAGGTAAAATAGTGGTTTATCGACCATCTTTTTCGACTTATTTATCATGATTTAAATAATACAAAAAATGTGTAAAAATACATATATTCTTCCATCAACAAAAAATATAACTAATATTTTAACATATTAACACATTAAAACATTCAACTTTTCACCAATTAAGCCATGAACCTTGGTTGCATATTTTAGTGTAGAGTAAACCAAACGTAAAAATATTTCAGTCTAAACGACATTTAGTTTTAATAGCCGCGCGAACAATTCGCGTTGAAAGATTTTTGGCCAAATATTAACGCCGTGTTACGTAGAATTTACATATCAAGTGCAAAGCTCTCTGACATAGCTTCTTGTTGGTAAACCTCGTGTATAGTATTTTAGAGATGACATATGTAATTCGTGAATAGCATAGGCACCATTTGTAATATTTTTATTATTAAATAACTATAAATAATACAAGTAATTATTAATTAAGCTCGTAAACAGCGACGCCTGTAACACTTTCTGTCTGGAGCAGGTTACTTTACAAAAGATAAAATAATAATTGAAATAGACTACACTAAAGTAAATCATGCCAGCTTATAAGTTTGTTAAAAAATTTGTTAAAATATAACAGTAAAATTCATAAATAATTCAATAATAAATAATTTATACAAGTTATAATCATAATATTAATCTCTTAGCATCATAAATGATGCTAAGAGATCAATAATATCGTGTTCTACACATCAATCATTTTGATTGCTAAATGCAAGTATAATGGTTTTGTTGTAGTCATTTTCCTCAAGTTTTTTCGATGATAGTCAACAGGACCTTTATATCTAAAACAAAAATCACAAGTTATATGTTATACAATAATACATGCCATAAATATAAAACACATAGTTATATTATAAGCTAAATTATATAATTATATTTGTAAAGCATTAATTTAATTATCAGAGTTTTATTCATTTTCTTTGTATTGTCAACAATAGATATTATTTTATATGGTCAATATTAATTTATATTATTAATATTTATATTAATATATTAATTTGGCTACATTTTTCAGATATGTTGTATAGTCCAATGCTAGTTACGCAGATTTCAATTGTATTTCAATACAGATATGTGTGTGTGTGTGTGTGCGTATATATATATATATATATATATATATATATATATATATATATATATATATATATATATATATATATATATATATATATATATATATATATATCATGATATAATCAATTTATTTGTGTTCAAACTGAAACTCTGTTAAATATCTTGTTTTATAAACACAAAAAATATTATATAAGCGGCTTCATTTTTTGAATCAAAGTTAGTCATCTAGTATATATAATATATCATTGATGCTATTTGATTAGCTTTTGCTAATATCTAGATCTTTAATACCAGCAATTTAGGAATTCATATTTTGTTAATTAAATTTTATTTACTTAACTTAAATGTTTTATGAATACAAAAAAATAATTTAAAAAACACCTATTTTCAGAAACCCTTTTTTAATAATGGGGTAAAAAAAAAAATTTTTATAAAGAGTTTTTTAATCAGTTTATCTGGTTACATAACTCTTTATAAAAGTATCTCAGGCCTTGTAATTCAGTCTTTTTATTTAGCATTCACATTTCACACTTGTGTCATTTGAACAGGTTTCCATAATGTCTTTTTCTAATTTATATACAATATTATGGAAGAGTTGCCCAACCAATTACAACAATTAATTTAATAGTGGTTTTTAAATAAGAGTTTTTTTGTTGTTTTTTAAGTTGTATTCAATGTAACTGAAGAGCATATCCTGCCCCTCCTGCTCTAATCTGCAAAAGTAACAATGATGGAGAATTTCTGAAATCAGCTATTTAAATTAAATTGTTAATTACATTTAAATTAAGCAAAATGGTGAGGATGATTTTTCAAAGGGAAATTCACCACTAAATAGAAAAATCAGTTTTCTATTGAAATACAATGTAATATAAGATTTTTAATGCAAAGGCAGTTATATCAGAACGTTAAAAGAAGTAATAAAATTTGAGGCTGAGATATGTCCACACACAATTTGTATGTTGTGTACGTGTGGGTGTATATTACTACTAACTACATATATTAAATGATTATCTGGAAAATACCATAAATATCTGCAAATGGTGAAAGCAAAACTGCCATTAACAAATGTTTTATACTGATGACCTTTGGTTTAAGTAACAAATATTTTGAGAAACTCTTCAAATGTGCTGTACAGAAGATTTTATTTCCAAACAGTCCCTAATAACAAGTGGTATTATTTCCAAACAGTCCCTAATAACAAGTGGTATTATTTCCAAACAGAATACTGAATGTTTTACCTTTTTTAAATTTTTTACTCGTACAATACTTAAAAAATAAACTTATTAGTGAATTGAACTAATAAAGTTGGAATACAAGAAAAATTAAAAATTTAAAAATTAAAAATATATATTGAAACCATAAAAATATTTAGTTGCAAACAAAATACTTTCAAAATACATGAAAAACCAACAAGATAAAACTGGCTTTAAAAAAAAAAAATAATCAAATACTTTTCTTTGCAATAATTTAATTGCAAATCTTTTTCAATAATTTAAATGTTTCTTAAATTCTAAATAGATTTTTGCAATTCAAAACTTTTTTTTGCAAAAGTTCTAGTTTTGATAGGCAAGTAAAAGTTGTAGTTTTAATAGGCAAGTAAATGATGATAGACAAGTAAAGGATAATAGGCAAGTAAAGGAAGGCAAGTAAAACGCAAAAATAAAATGTAAAAGTAAAAGTTGAAAAAAAAAGGAACTTTGATTGAAAAAAAAAAATTCACACATTTAATTTTGCTTATTTTATTATTATTATAATTTGTTTATTTCGCAAATATAAGTTGAAAAAAAACATACTATTTTGTAGGATATCCTTTCACAATCAACAATGGGTTGGCATCTACGAGGCATAGAGTTAACTAAATGAATGCAAACATAAATGGGAACTGAGTCCCTTATTTCTTTGATTTTATTAAATAAATCAACATGATTTATAAACTTGATTCCTTTTTTTTGACAGTCAACATGTTCCCATAGATATTAAATTAGATTTAAGTCACATGATTGGGATGGCCACTTCAAAACATTAACTTTATTCTTTTTAAAATATTCTTAAACCGATTTGGCTGCATGTTTGGGATTGTTATCCTGTTGGTATATCAATCCTAGAGGCATTTTATCCTTTGCATGAGGCAATATAATAGTCTTACATATATCTTTTTATTTTGTTTGATTTATAGCCTCAGTAATTTTATGGAGCGGGCCAACTCCATCTTGGCTAAAACATCCCCAAACCATTATAATCATTTATCCATAAAATCCATAAAATTAAAACCATAAAAACATTAAAATCATCCTCCATGTTTTATGGTAGGCATTTAGTGTTTAGGATCATATCTTGTACCTACTGTATCATATCTTGTACATACTGGATGTCTTGTACCTACTATACGTCAAACATACCTGATTGCAACTGATCCAAAAAGTATAAACTTGCTTTCATCACTGAAAAGTATTTTTGACCATTGCTGATTACTCCACATTAGATGCTCTGATGCAAATTCTTTTTGGGCATTACGATTTTTCAAGGAAACTAATGGCTTTTAGCTGAGTGTGTTCCTAATAAATAAGCATGACATAAACAATGTTTAATAATAGAAATACTATAATTCATTTTATTGAAATGTCTCATTTGTACGTTTATATCGACAGCAGTCAAACGGCGATTTTCTTTGCTTATTATCACAGGATTTTTATCCTGATAATGCGTTGTTTTGTGTGGCTTTCCTAATTGATTTTTATTCTTTGTAGATATAGTAAGCTAATCATAAGCTAGTAAGCTCATATTTCTTCATAATTTGCAATACAACTGCAGTCTTACCGACTCCATAAAATTGTGCTGTTTTACAAAACGAAATTCCATTTCGATTTGATCTCACAATCAAACTTTTCACTGGAGATGAGATGCAATTCTTGGATCCCATGATCTCAATCACTTATAAATAAAGTTTGTAAATTACTTCCACAAAGTATTTCTTTATAAAATCAACAAATTAGCAATTAAAATGTTAAAATGGGGAAAATGTTAAAAGCTTCAGTTTGTTGGCAAACTTTTGAACTTTCAAAAATTGCAATTTTGTAAACTAATTTTCAATATTTAATTAAATAATCATTATTTGCTAAAAATATAATTGTTAAACTGAAAACCTTTAAATTGGTATATAACATGGCTCAAGTGGTGTATGAAATGAAATATATATATATATATATATATATATATATATATATATATATATATATATATATATAAATATATATATATATATACATATATATACATATATATATATGTATGTATATATATATATATATATATATATATATATATATATATATATATATAATATACATATATGGCAATGTCGACGCAAAAGCCGACCTATCTTTGCTTTAGGACGGCATACAACTGCCGACCTGAATATCTTAGCCAATAAAATACATCACACACACAGATATATATATATATATATATATATATATATATATATATATATATATATATATATATATATATACATAGTTTTATAATTATTTATATATTATTTAATATATTTTAATAGTAAATGTTTAAACTTACATTTCTAAAAAAACATTATTGCATTTAAAGTATTCATGAGATAGAAAAGTGAAGTACTTTGTCTCCAGTCTATTTTCAAATGTGTGCTTCAATTCAAAAAAAATTGCACTCAACCGAGGTATTTTTTCTAAATACATTTGAACATTAACTCGATAGTTTAACAAGTAGTAGAAATCGTCTCTAATTGTTTTTAATACTGGAGTGTTAACAATTGGTGTTAAAAGTACTGAGTCAGCATCTATAAAAATTAAAACTTTAGGATTCATGACAAATGTTAATTAAAATAAATTTTAAATCTAACATTTAACAAAAAGTTTTTTTTCATTACAAATTATTTAGTGTGTTAAAAACACTAAAATATGCAGAAAAATGACACTTTTAATTAAAAATTAAAAAGTGTACATAAAGAGTCATATATGTAATAAAGACTTAAAATTAGAAATAAAATGAGCAATATGCATCGGTACATCACTAGTATATCATCACTATGTATATATACACTTGTATATATTGCTCTTTAAGAGCCATATATACATATGGCTCATTTCATTTCTAAATAATAATTAAAACTTAAATTTTTTGTTTAAGAAAATTTAGAAAATGAAAAATTATTCATTACAAAATACTTATTCATTATGAAAAATTTTATGATATTTAAACATTGATAAAATTTACTATTAAATTTATAAACTAGATATTTACAAACATAGTTCCTCCCACTGTCCTGTCTTCCCACTTAACATTTGAAATCAGTTCAGATAAAAAAGTTATAAATACCATTAATGTTAACATTTTTGAAAATAAAATTAACTGCTGCAATTTTGAAAAATACTGATTATAATTTTATGAAATATTATAACCAAGATTTCTGAAAAAATTAGCATATTATAGTAGCTTGCTATAAAAAGAAAGTTTCAATTCAAACACAATATTAATTTTAATAAATACTTTTTTCACAATGATATTTTTGGAAATTAAACAAATTAGATTCATTTGATTTTTTAAAATAAATACACTTGGATAAGACTAATTATATTTTTGACTTTTTACAAAACCAACTATCTATTTTTGATACTGATATTTGTACAAGTGTTTTAATCTTTTCGCTTTCTTATTTATTTTTAACTTTTGACCAGATAAAACCAAACAAAGAAAATATTCTTTCAATTAAAGCTAACTCTCCTCCAAGCATTTTACAGTTAGGCAGATTATATCTTGGTCTCAATAAATTGATCATGTTAAATATTCTTGATTTTCAGAAGTTTTAAATGATACATTTGCACTGAAGAAAAAATTTAGTATTTTTAATAAAACATTTTCTTTCTGTTACATATTAGTTGATGTTGTATATAATGACATCAACCATTACTTCTCACAAGGTGTTGTCAAACTTATAGAACTAACATATGCCAGGGTTAGGGTTAGGGTAAGGGTAGGGTTAGAACTTGTTCCAACTTAAGATGATGGCCTAGCTATTAGAGCACTAATATTTAAATAATTATTTGGAAATACATTATCACAATTTTTATTTAAATATTTTGACAGATTGAGATTGTCCTCTTCTGTATGCTTGTGTAAAAACTCAAATTTCTTTTGGCAATGTTTTATATGGAGTTTTACTAGCTTTATCTTGTTGCTAAGCAAAACATGATAATAGTCACAAAAAACTTTTGTACTGTTTTTGAATTCAGTTACTTCATCCCATTCTCCAGCTTTCTTTCTCCTACTTCCTATTAGTATTTTTAGTTATAAAAATATTTTTAAATCTAAAATAAATCAATACATATATTTTTAACATGAATTTTTTGTTTTTTATTCCAGTTTTATATCATTTTTAAAAATCTTTATGAAAATAATTTGAGAAGTTCTTGTTATAAAATTTTAATAACATTATACAGAACATATTTTAAATAAACTAGAAGAAAATTAGAAAATTATACTATTTTTCAATACTATTAAAGAAAATTTTAACAGATATAAAATAAAAATAAAAACCAATAAAATTAGCATTGAGGCCTAATACACAGTAATTAGAAATTTGTTAGATGCTTTTGATCTCATACAGTTCACCCACTTCAAGCCCTGACTATTTAAAAGGGGTTTGTTCAAGATTAGCTAAGTTTACTGGCCGACCATGATTCTGGTTAACCTCCTGTCAGAAAGCTTCAAATAGCTGTGGCCATAAATAAAACTGTTAAGCTGGAGAATCAACTAATTATATCATAAAACCATAAAAGGTTAAAAAATAGTATAGTAAAGATAAAACTGCTTCACTTAAAAAAATATCTTTTTGCAAAAATCAAATGAATAAGTTCCTAATTTTAAAATTATTTACATTTAGACTTTTAAGAAGTGCAGATATTATTATGAACTTGCTGTAAAAAACCAGACCATTAGGTAAAAATTAACAAATATGGAGCTGTTTTACATGCCTTGACTTTCATGAAATTCAAGTTTCATTTCTCTAAAATCAGGCAGGTTTTTATTCTGAGTAATAAAATACTCAAAGAGATCAATAGAATGGCTGACTAAATTTCTCTCTCTAGGGAATCATGGTTTTTGACCTTCGACTTTTCTGATTCTACAATTTTTAAAGTAAAACTTAATTTCATAAGTTTTGATATTTTAATTAATTTTAAGAATAAAGTAACAAATTATTTAAAAACAATGGTTTGCAAAATGGTTTAAAATCAGATGTAAAATACATAGAAAATAACTCTAAAAAAGCTTTTTTTCTAATGACAGACTTTTCTTAAAATCAGTAAAAATGAAGTAAAAATGAAATCAAAAGAAATAGCATTTTGAATTTATCTTGTCAAAAATAAATGTAATAAGCATTTAGCAATGTCATTTTTCAACCTTTTTTTATCATTATATAACCTTATATTACATTGCATTATTTTTAATTTACACTTTTAAGATCAACAAGACTATTGACAGATAATGCGGTAGTGGTGTAGTGGTAGAGGCTCTCGCTTCATAAACATGTGGTTCCGAGTTCGATCCCCACCACGTCCCTGGTAGTACCGCGCTCAACTCGTTTCTCGGCGCAGCGGCCTTGTTCGTCAAGGTTCGTGTTTCGGAGTTATAGAGTTGAGAGAGGGTTATAGCCACAAAATAAGTAGCCTCCTCGTCTGTAGTGGCCTTCTCGGCCTTGAGAAGGTGAAGTAAAATAAAAATAAAAAAAAAGATGTATAATGAGCCTACTGCAGAGGTAAAATTTAAATCATGGTAAAACCTTAGAGATGTTTGGTGCGGGCATTAGCATATTTGACCGAGATCGCAATATGAAAATGGTAAAAATTTTGTATTCAAAAACATAGGGAGGTCCGAAAAGGTGTAAAAACGGATAGAATCAAAGCTGAAATCCTTCTGAAAGCAGTTTTTGTTAATAAACATCAGCCACTAGGTCTTGAGTTGTATATTTCACCAGAGAACTGGTTAATTTTTGATATTCTAAGTCATAGTTTGAAAAAATGCTATTGGATGAGACTCCCTCAGACTTTTTGGGTACAATGAATTCCAAAACTTTTAAATCTTTTTAAGTTGCTAACAACTCATCAGAACTCACAGCAAAATTTTAAATCTATTAAGCATAGAAACTTATTTCTCAAAAAAAGAAATATATTTCTTGTTTTTTAAAAATAAACTGCAGAGTAAGATAATTATTTTTTAAAACAAGAAATGTAACTCTTATTTTTAGAAAAATATTTTGTAATAAAAAATTCAATTTTGTTGTGCTTCCAGTAAAATTTATTCAAGGTAATGTAGAGCGTGTGATGAGCTTGGAGAAGCTTAAGAATCTACTTCAAGTAAAAAGTTCTGGTAAAAAACCATTAAAAAAGAAGAAGAGTGGATTCAAGGACCTACTACGACTGCTAGCTACGGCAACTGCTTTCTTGCTTTCTCGTTATTAAATGGTTCTAATAAATTGAATTTTGATCCGATATCTAACTACAAACTCTGAATTTTAAAAGTACATTTAAAAATCATTTTTTTAACATATATTTTCTTGAGACATTTGTCTTAAGCTGAAAATTTATAGTATATAAACATTTATTGCACATTGACAGCGTTTAAACGCTGAATTCTGAAGCAAATTTGCTTTAGAAATACGAGATCTGTGACAGTGAAGGATCCAGCATATTTTGGTGTTTGAGATTGCTAACATGGAACAAAATTCAAACATTTTCATGTTTATATTTATGTCAAATATTGATGCTTTTAAAAAAGTTGCATGATTGGAGGCTGGGAACAAAAAAAGCCCTTAAATTTTATCTCCCCTACCCCAAATGTGAATGCAACAAGTTGATGAAACAATTTTTTTGCTATTCTTAACTAAATTTATATTTATTGATAAATTTTAAGTATTGTTTTACAATCTCTAAGCGTTCAAAAATTATGACTATATAAAACTTGTAACCCCCTCAAATTGAGGGGGAGGGGGTTAAACTTTATATGGTTATAATTTTTTTTTTTTTTTAATTATCTTCGCTTTCAACAAGGGTGCAAGCAACCACTTATTAGTGTTGGAAGTTACTGGAAGAGAAAAGATGAAGATTGTAGAGCAAGATAACGATTGACAGACGACTTAAAATATTGCAAATTATATGAATCAGGAAAGCAAGATGAAGAAAGCCAATTCCAAAGAACTGATGTTCGAGGAAAAAAACTAGATGAATAAGAGTTTTTGGAGCACTTAGGAACAGTAACAGAAAAAGAATGAGACTTAATTGAATGACGAGTAACACAAGAATGAATTTTAGTAGATGGCACAAGAGACGCTAGCTCTTTAGAGCAGTGTCCATTATAGTATTTGTAGAAAAGAGAAAGAGAAGCAACATTACGACGATGTGACAGAGGTTGAAGGTTGGCTGCAAGAGCAGGTCCAACTATGTTTACAATGCGTTTTTGCACCTTGTCTAAAAGAGAAAGGGCATCATTAGAAGATCCGCCCCAGATATGGCAACAGTATTCCATACAAGGCCGGATTTGAGATTTATAGAGATAGAGAATAGAATCCAGAGTAAGAAAGTGACGAGCTCGATAAAGAGAAGCAACTTTAGCAGATGCTAATTTTGCAACGGATTTGATATAAGGTTTCCAAGAAAGATCAGAAGTAAGAGTTAATCCTAGAAGATGAAGGGTAGGAGACTCATCGAGTACATTACCGTTCATAAATATAGGAAGGTCTAAATTATTGCGATAACGATTGGCCAAAAAAAATTGAGTTTTATT